CTTCTTTGCTTCCATAGAAGTAAAAACTATACATACATGCATTTGCTCAATATCATGAACTTAGTTACATTATAATTAACATATATGTACTTAATTGCAATATCTGTAATCCTCTCAAATGTTAATCATTCCATTGTGTCCACCTTAGGTTAATAATAAAAACTGTAATTCTTCTCTACCAAATTTACTAAAGCCATATAGCATGAACTAATAGACTAGTCAGTTTTCTTGTATTCATTCTAACTCACACAATGACCATATGTACAGTTACTGCACTGTTATTGCCTTATTAATTTTAAGTTAGTCTTAAGTTTGCATGTAATGCTCTGCATATAAAGGGGCTTTTGGCATGTACACTCAATTGTAATACTCCTTTGTACAAACATATCATGCTAAAATGAAATTACATATTATTATTATTATTATTATTATTATTATTATTATTATTATTATTATTATTATTATTTTTCATTATTCCTTAGGGAAAAAATTCATTCAGTACTCGAACAGATTCAATCAATCAATCAATCAAAGTTTATTCTCTATAAGGATTACAATGCGGGGTTTACAGATTTTGGTTATTGTGTGGGTTTACATGTAATAAAATACTAATTACAGAGGGGACCAATAGAACACCTAGCATGGCTAGGCATTTCGGGCAAACTTAGATTAATTCTTAGCCCTAAATTATTACAAATTGTGGAGTAAGTTGACTAAATACTAGTTTGTGAGTTTAGCAATATGAATGCTTTTGTTATGGCATAATACATAGTTTCTATATTGGAGTATCACAGGCAAATTTGTGACTAGTTAGGAATCATTATTTTAAGATTAAGATACGTATTTCTGTGCTTATAGTCAAATGGGTGAGTGAGTGAAAGTGTAAGTGTGAACCACCAGGTGGTTTTTATGTAGTTGACGGGGTGTATCAGGGAGATAAGATATTTTCTAACGGTAGTTTTGAAGGTGATGAATGTGTCTGCAGTTCTAGAGTTTTCAGGTAGGGTGTTCCAGATTTTAGGGCCTTTGACATACATTGAATTTTTGTATAGATTTAGTCGGACACGGGGAATGGCACTCGATTGGCACTCGAACAGCCTTCTGCAACGAATTAAGTTCTAGTATCGAAGTACTACAGTAATAATAATACATAAAATATGTATTTGTTTCTACAAATGTGTAATACGACTTATACAGACCTGGCTAACATCAGTGATATACCAGTTAGAAAGCCCCTTATTATGCAGAGCATTTCGGGCAAATAAGACTAATTTTGTCCCTAGGATGTGACACACACCAGTTAGCTAACACCCAGGCGCTTATTTACTGCTAGGTGAACAGAGACAGAAAGTGTTTTAACCTTTTCAGGGTTTCCGACTTACTAGTATGGCTTACGCACCAGGGTTATTGACATACTAGAACACCTAAATTCTAGCACCTTCAAATCTAGCAAGAGAAAGTTGGTAGGGCTACATATGAAAGAATGGGTCTATGTGATCAGTGTGCGCAGTATAAAATAATCCTGCAGCACATAGTGCGTAATGAGAAAAAAAAACTTTGACCGTGTTTTTGGATTAAAACCGCAACTTTGCACTGTATTTTTGTATGGTATTTATGGTTGTATTCTAGTTTTCCTGGTCTCATTTTATAGAATGGAAGACATATTACAGAAATTGAGATGATTTTGATTGGTTTCACAATGAAAAGTACCTTGAAATTGAGCTCAAAGTAGCAGAAATGTTCGATTTTTACCAAAGTTCAAAAGTGAACAAATCATGCCAAGCATCCAATACACGTCAACTGGTGAGTCTAATATTCTTTTACAAGTGCACTGATATTATATATACCATTTCTACACTAATGCAGTAGTCTGCATAACAGTAAATCTATTTTTTTGAGAAAAATTCGAAGTGGAAAGCAAAAGAAATGTAAGAGGGGCCAGGGGACGTGACTAATGAACAGAAAACTTGTTATTTTAGTACCAGGAAAGTCTGTCTTGTTTATTCTGGACCCTATTTGGAAATTGGCATCTTCCGAAATTTGTGTGAAATTGGCAAAATTGCCAGTTTCTAACCACTTTATTGGATAGTTAAAATTGGTAAATGAGTGGTTTCTTGTACTCATTCGATAGACAAAGTGGAGTTCTAGCAAAATAAATATTATTTTTGTCGACTAGTGCTCAGGAATTTGCCGAAAATAGGGCTCAAACTGGGCAAAATCGCCGATTCGTAAATATCGCCAAGGTCACTAACTTCGCAAGAGTGTAATTCCGTAAGTTTTCCATCAAACTTCGTTCTTTTGGTGTCATTACCATCGGGAAAAGATTCTCTATCATTTCGTAAGTAATTTTTTTTTTTTTCCAAAAAATTTTTGACTCAAGGAGACACCTCAGGATTTGGGGTTAAAAGGCTCTGGTTATGCAGAGCATTATGGGCAAACTTAAGTTTAAAAGGATGATAAACAGTTTACTCATACGTACATACTGATATGCATACAGTGACATTAAAGATGTACATAGACAAGCTTATTATGAGTGAATTTAACAATTATAAATACTTTAAGTAGATAAAAGCTTTGCTTAGTACATTGCAATAATTTTTTTTAAACTCCACTGAAACAACTTCTCAGATACAATTTCTAATACAGTACTCACCTAATTGTACTCACCTAATTGTGGTTGCAGGGGTCGAGACTCAGCTCCTGGCCCCGCCTCTTCACTGATCGCTACTGGATCCTCTCTCTCTCTGCTTCCTGAGCTTTGTCATACCTCTTCTTAAAACTATGTATGGTTCCTGCCTCCACTACTTCACTTGCTAGGCTATTCCACTTGCTGACAACTCCATTACTGAAGAAATACTTCCTAACGTCCCTGTGACTCGTCTGAGTCTTCAGCTTCCAGTTGTGACCCCTTGTCCCTGTGTCCCCTCTCTGGAACATCCTATCTCTGTCCACCTTGTCTATTCCCCGCAGTATCTTGTATGTCGTTATCATATCTCCCCTGACCCTTCTGTCCTCCAGTGTCGTCAGTCCGATTTCCCTTAACCTTTCCTCGTACGACATTCCCTTGAGCTCTGGGACTAGCCTTGTTGCAAACCTTGTACTTTCTCTAACTTCTTGACGTGCTTGACCAGGTGTGGGTTCCAGACTGGTGCTGCATACTCCAGTATGGGCCCAACATACACAGTGTACAGTGTCTTGAACGATTCCTTATTAAGGTATCGGAACGCTATTCTCAGGTTTGCCAGGCGCCCGTATGCTGCAGCGGTTATTTGGTTGATGTGTGCCTCCGGTGATGTGCTCGGTGTTATGGTCACCCCAAGGTCTTTCTCCCTGAGTGAGGTCTGTAGTCTTTGTCCACCTAGCCTATACTCTGTCTGCGGTCTTCTTTGCCCCTCCCCAATCTTCATGACTTTGCATTTGGCTGGATTGAATTCGAGAAGCCAGTTGCTGGACCACATGTCCAGCCTGTCCAGGTCTCTTTGCAGTCCTGCCTCATCCTCGTCCGATTTAATTCTTCTCATCAACTTCACGTCATCTGCGAACAGGGACACTTCAGAGTCTATTCCTTCCATCATGTCGTTCACATATATCAAAAATAGCACTGGTCCTAGAACTGACCCCTGTGGGACCCCGCTCGTAACAGGCGCCCACTGTGATACCTCTTCACGTACCGTGACTCGTTGCTGCCTCCCTGTCAGGTATTCCCTTATCCATTGCAGTGCCCTCCCTTTTACGTGCGCCTGATCCTCCAGCTTCTGCACTATAATCTCTTGTGGGGAACTGTGTCAAAGGCCTTCCTGCAGTCTAGGAAAACGCAATCTACCCACCCCTCTCTCTCGTGTCTTACTTCTGTTACCTTGTCATAAAACCCCCAGGAGGTTTGTGATACAAGATTTGCATTCCATGAACCCATGCTGGTTTTCATTTATAATCTTGTTCCTTTCCAGGTGTTTGACCACTCTCCTCCTGATAATCTTCTCCATGACTTTGCACATAATACATGTCAGAGACACAGGTCTGTAGTTTAGTGCCTCGTTTCTGTTTCCTTTCTTAAATATGGGGACTACATTAGCTGTCTTCCATTTCTCAGGTAGTTGCCCAGTTTCAAGGGATGTGTTGAAGATTGTGGTTAGAGGCACGCACAGCATCTCTGCTCCTTCTCTAAGGACCCATGGGGAGATGTTGTCCGGTCCCATCGCCTTTGAGGTGTCAATAATTCAATAATTCAATAACAATAATTCAGATTCAAGATGGATGGAGAATTGCTGAAAAGCTTTGTACAGTGGTACCTTGACTCATGAGTGCCCCAACTTACAAGTTTTTCCAAGTTACGAGCTGTCACTCAGTCGATTTTATGCTTTGAGTTGCGAGCCAAAATCCGAGTTACGAGTGAGCTTCAGATACCCCGCCACTAGTTGGCGGTGTATCTGACATCAAATCCAACTCTTTACCCAGAGGAATGTCAGGTACTTCATCCCATCCCACATGCTCTTCCTAGACATAACTGGAAGGATAATACTCCCACACTAATCCCAGATTGTAGTGAGGCACCTCGTCCCTTGTTTGGTTTTTGTATAAATCCGGGGAAGAGGTAACCTCCATTTCAACACAGAGTTTTTCCTGAAACATAAAGGAAGGTCTCCATGATATTTCCTGCCTCATGGAGGTTCCTTCAGTGGGTGGAGTAGTGAGGGTGGTGGGTGTAGTAGAGGTGGTGGTGGGTGGAATAGTGAGGGTGGTGGGTGGAGTAGTGATAATAGTGGGTGGAGTAGCGATAGTGGTGGGTGGCGTAGTGATAATGGTGGGTGGAATAGTGATTGTAGTGGGTGGAGTAGCGATAGTGGTGGGTGGAGTAGTGATAATGGTGGGTGGAATAGTGATTGTAGTGGGTGGAGTAGTGATAGTGGTGGGTAGAGTAGTGAAGGTGGTGGGTGGAGTAGTGAAGAGTGTAGCAGGTAAGTTAAGTGATTAAGCCTATCTCCTCTGCCTATCTTTTCCAGCCTCCACCTCTGCCAGTATCTTCCGTTAGCCCAAGTCGTCTGATCTCCAAGGTAAATACACTTTATAAACCCAGTTTATTTCTTTACATTCTCTTTTATTATGTTTTATACAATATTTCTTATTTATAAATATATTTTTCTTATTTAAAAGCCTGTAACAAAAAAATTGGGGTGGTGTTTTGGGGGCTGGAACAGATTAATGGCATTTAAATTAATTTGAATGAGGAAAATTGATTTGATATACAAGCAAATTGAGTTACGAGCTCAGTCATGGAACAAATTAAACTTGTAAGTCAAGGTACCACTGTACAGCATTTGTTAGGCCAAAACTGGATTATGCAGTTGCTGTAGTTTACTAACCCCTAAAAAATATGTGGATTAGAGAGACAAGAGCTGCAATATGGATCCTACTGACTGTACTTTTAACAGAGATAACAAGAAACTAGAAATGTTAATTAAGAAAAAAAAATGAATGAATTGTTGGGAAATTTTTCTTTACAAATAGGCCAGTGACAGAATGGACTACGTTTACTGAAAGTAGTAGTAACTACATCCATTGAAAATTTATAAAAAAGTTTATGATGAACATATTAATGAAGATGAGTTGCCACAATCATATTTCTACTCCTGTAGCTACAGATAGTTAATTATGCCACTGTTTTCCGTGTAATGATATTTTCCACTGACTTGTTGGCTAACACTGTGTGGCTCACTGATTAGATATCATTCAACTTCATAGCAGCAGCTGACAATTCCCACAGCAGCAGGCTTCTCTCTGCTCTACTGTATTTACCTGCCTCTGCTGCCTGCCTTAAGATGTCCTTCTGGCATTGAGTATATTAAAAAATATCTTAACAAATTCTAAAACAGATCTATGAGCATTATACAAATACCAATTATTGCAACTCTCTTTAACAAATCCAATGAATCATCTACCTTCCCAACAATCCTCAAAATAGTGAGGGTCACTCCGATTCACAAAGGAGGTGACCAAGCTGACTTGAATAACTATAGACCAATATCTTTAAAATCTTTGAAAAATTAATTCATAGACGGATCTATTCCTACCTTGTCTCACACAATATATTAAACCCTTGTCAGTTTGGATTCAGGAATAATAAAAGCATGAATGATGCTATCATACACATGCTAGAACTAATATATACCGCACTCAAAAAGAAAGAAGTCCCGCTGGGCATTTTCATTGATTTACGTAAAGCTTTCAATACAGTCGACCATGAACTGCTGTGCTCCAAATTAACACACTATGGCATCAGAGGCCACTCCCTCAACTACCTAAAATCATACCTTAGTAACAGAACACAATACAGCGGACCCCCACTTAACGATCACCTCCCAATGCGACCAATTATGTAAGTGTATTTATGTAAGTGCATTTGTATGTGTATGTTTGGGGGTCTGAAATGGACTAACCTACTTCACAATATTCCTTATGGGAACAAATTCGGTCAGTACTGGCACCTGAACATACTTCTGGAATGAAAAAATATCGTTAACTGGGGGTCCACTGTATGTGTACGCAAATGATGCAAACTCATCCACCCAACCAATCACAGTAGGAGTCCCACAAGGAAGCGTCCTTGGACCACCACTCCTCTTTCTCATCTACATCAGTGATCTACCAAATGTATCACAACAACTCAAGCCCATATTATTTGCAGATGACACTACATATGTCTTTTCCCACCCAAACACAGTCAATGTTGAATTGCAGAAAATATCTGTCTGGATGATGACTAATAAACTTACCCTGAAAATTTATAAAGCCTATTTCATTCAGTTTGGAAACAAAGCTGCAAATGATCCAATTAACATAATGCTAAATGGATCATCAGTCACAAGACTCACAGAGGGAAAATTCCTAGGTATCCACCTTGACAGTAGCCTTAAGTTCTGGACACACATACAACAAATCACCAAGAAAATCTCCAAAACTGTAGGCATACTATCAAAGATAAGGTACTACGTTCCACAATCAACTCTCCTGGCACTGTACCATTCACTCATATACCCTTATCTTACATATGGAATTTGTGCATGGGGATCAACAACATCCAATCACCTAAAGCCCCTAATAACCCAGCAAAAGGCAGCAGTAAGAATGATAACAAATTTCCACTCCCGCCAGCATACTCCGCCAATTTTCAAAAGTCTGAATCTGCTCACCATTAAGAACATCCATACTTATTCATGTGCCTACCACATACACAGAACAATTCATGCAAATATAAACCCTCCACTCAAACTTCTCCTCACCAACCTAAACAGGACACATGACCACAACACAAGACACAGATCTCTTTTTGATATACCTCGTGTCCATATCACACGGTGTAAAAACTCTATGCACATAAAGGGCCCCAAAATATGGAATTCATTACCAGAAGATATTAAAGTAACCCAGTCTGAAAATCAATTTAAGACTCTTCTCAAAAGCCACTTAATCACCCTAGACTAAACGCTAAATACTCGGTACACACTTACTCACCTATGTACGTACTCCCACATCATAACTGAAACAATCACTTTGAACCTTTTATCCATTGTTGACAGGAATATAAATGAATCATTGTTTTCACAAAAAGCATTTTAGAATATATGAATATATCTTTTGTCTTATACAAATTTGATTCACTTATAATTAATAATCTACTGTACAACTATGAAATAATTACTATCCTACTGTACAACTATGATTTAATCCTTAGTGTTAAGCAGTCTGTAAGCCAATAATGTTAAGTTGGCCCATAATGCCTAGGCATAATAGAGGTTCTCTTTGCATTGTAACCCACTATTGTATATACACAATCTCAATTTACTGTTTGCAAAGACATAAAATAAATAAATAAACAGATAATTTCTTTTCTGCCATGTACAGGTAATGTAGTTTATATATAATAAAATATGTCAGGCACAAAAGAAAACCACTGGTATGATGCACATTTTGACCAGATTAATCCTTATGGTTAATCTAAAACTTATAAAAATTTAAATGAAAAAGGGATTATTACAGAATAGATAATTCAGTTATACACTTAAGCATCTAATAGCACCTTAATTATTTTAACAAGTGAGTTTATGAACTACAGTAGATATTTACAGCTAAAATAAAGGAGCTAATGAATATAATAGTAAAATAATGTATTAAAAGCAAAATCAGTAGCACCTGAGGTAGTCAATAGCACCTGCAGTATTTTAATAAATGTGACTATATGGAGAAGAGGAGAGGGGAAAAAAAAATGAGCATGGGAATATAATGGCAAAATAGTGAACTTATTACACTTTAGCACCTGAGAATAGCACTTTGATTATTTTAACAATTGTGAATATATGAAATAAGGTAGTTATATAAAGCTAAAATAAAGAAAAAAATATATAAGGGACTAAATTAAGTAATGGTAAACAAAGTTCAATGGACAGATAGTCACTATGATATAATATTGATTTGGGAGTAAGATCTGATTTGTAATGTATAATAAGTTGAGCAGTTAATTGCACTATAAAAAGTAGAGAAATATGAGGTAGCTGGTACTAGCTAGCAAAAGATAGTTTTGGGACTCACACAATAATGTAATTGGAATATACACTAATTGCACACACAATATAAAAGGGACTAAAAAAAAGTAGTGGTAAACAGAATTAAATGGTCAGGTAGCAACCATGAATAACATTAATTTGGAGTAAGATTTGACTTGCAACACAAAATTATGAGCAATTAATAGCAATTAAAAAGTAAAAAGTATTTGAGGTAGCTGGTATTAGCTAGTAAAAGAAAAAAAATAATAATGCACAATAATATAATAGTAACTTGACTTAAGAAATCGTAATGACACGATTGCAAATAAACCATACCCCCGGCCGGGATTGAACCCGCGGTCATAGAGTCTCAAAACTCCAGCCCGTCGCGCTAGCCACTAGACCAGCTAGCCACAATAAGATTCATCCAACTAGGTATATTTCTACACCATAGGAAAGTTAGCACAGGCACCTCTGTGACCACAAATGCAAGTTTTTACAGACGAATCTCCAGCTAGCGTGGCCGTGACGAACTCTAGCTCAAGTCCCTTCACTGCCGTCAACATGACTTAAGAAATCGTAATGACACGATTGCAAATAAACCATACCCCCGGCCGGGATTGAACCCGCAGTCATAGAGTCTCAAAACTCCAGCCCGTCGCGCTAGCCACTAGACCAGCTAGCCACAATAAGATTCATCCAACTAGGTATATTTCTACACCATAGGAAAGTTAGCACAGGCACCTCTGTGACCACAAATGCAAGTTTTTACAGACGAATCTCCAGCTAGCGTGGCCGTGACGAACTCTAGCTCGTCTGTAAAAACTTGCATTTGTGGTCACAGAGGTGCCTGTGCTAACTTTCCTATGGTGTAGAAATATACCTAGTTGGATGAATCTTATTGTGGCTAGCTGGTCTAGTGGCTAGCGCGACGGGCTGGAGTTTTGAGACTCTATGACCGCGGGTTCAATCCCGGCCGGGGGTATGGTTTATTTGCAATCGTGTCATTACGATTTCTTAAGTCATGTTGACGGCAGTGAAGGGACTTGAGCTAGAGTTCGTCACGGCCACGCTAGCTGGAGATTCGTCTGTAAAAACTTGCATTTGTGGTCACAGAGGTGCCTGTGCTAACTTTCCTATGGTGTAGAAATATACCTAGTTGGATGAATCTTATTGTGGCTAGCTGGTCTAGTGGCTAGCGCGACGGGCTGGAGTTTTGAGACTCTATGACCGCGGGTTCAATCCCGGCCGGGGGTATGGTTTATATAATAGTAACATACACTATATGTACTTAAGGATACTTATCTAATCTGTTACAGAAATGTCAGCTTTTCTAAGGAAGGTAGAGAAATCATGTTCATTTGAGATGGTGTATTGTTGTCCTGTTGATGTTTTTCTAACTAGTATTTTCCCATCTCAAGTGAAACACTGATGTATTTTGTTTTCCTGTTTAAGTTTTCTCAACCTGAACAGAAGGTTTTGACGTTTTCCCGTTAGACACTCGTTGATGAACACTCCATTTTTCATTGTAATTGCTGATTTAATTAAATCCTTTCTTTTATCATATGAATGAAGTCTGATCATAATACAGTACTGTGTTTACTGCCTTGTTTTCCTAGCAAACGTGTTTCTTTGATTTTATTGTTTTGCAGGATAACTTTTACGTGGTCCTGTATTATCCTGATAGCAGTTTCTTTGCACTGTTCTTGGGTTATGTCACTAGGAATGTGTGGGCTGTTTATTATAACTGCATCAGAGTGAGTGAAGTCTGAGTGTTTGTTTTTAGAAAGAAAAATGAAAACTGGGTGACGAAATAATAGTAACAGGTGTTATATTAATAATGTCCATCTTCTCTGGAAGGAGTGCATGTTCATTTTATATGGAAAGAATACATGGTAACTGTCAAACACATGCTTCCCTCAAGAGTCTTAACCCTTCAACTGTCCAAACGTAGATCTACATTTTCACGCGTAGCGCTCTGACCTTGATTTTCTCCATAAGAAAGCATGTAATTAAAAACATAGATCTGCGTTCAGAGCACTACACAAGCGAACATAGATCTGTGTTTGGACAGTTTAAGGGTTAAGTTAATAATTTTCTATTTAGATTTTAAGTACATATTTTTTTTTTTACAATGGTCTTGACAGCACATAAGTACATTATGCTAATTTAATCTTGGATAGCTCATTTAAGTCAAACATTATACAGTACACATGTTTGAGGGTCTAAACCTCACTGCATCCAGCCAGGCCTAGTATGATAACATGAACCCTTTCCACATACATTGGAACCTCAGTACTCAAACAGTTCTGTACTCAAACAATTCGGTATTCGAATGCTTTGTTCGGCAAACAAATTGTTTGGTAGTAAACTGTATGCTCAGCACTTGACCAAACAAAGACACATTTTTTGGGTGTTTTTTTTTATAATGTATAAATAAGTCACTATGGAGCCTAAGAGGGTTAGTGGAAACAGCCAACCAAAAAGAAAATTGGTTGGGAAAAAATTTGTTCTGTGCTCAAGCAGATCGGTACTCGAACAGCCTTCTGGAACCAATTAAGTTCAAGTGCTGAGGTTCTATTGTATCTCTAGATCAACAAGAAACAACATCTACAATGTAAATTGTTTAAAACTTTATTAATATTGATGATTTAAGAATTGAAAAAATCTTGTATGACTTTTTCAAAATGTCCTGGCATGTAACCTAGGTTTTCTCCAAGTTGTTCACTCCACCCATTGTGTAGTCACGTATAGCTCCATTTTTTTCTGGAACCTAACGTATTTTGATAGATTGTCTTATTCATCATAGAGCATGCAGACTTAATTTTCAATGTATCCTTCACTGTCCTGACATAACTTTGTCATCATTTGTGATAATTTCACTTTTGGTGCAAATTTCCTCTGAATTTTTAACCGAAAATAATTTATTGCACAAACAATGACTTCTCTTTACCTTTGTGTTGACCCTCAACAGTGCTGCTTCTTGTCCTCTAAAAATCATTCATCCCTTTGTTACACAGTGCTGCAGCACTCGCATGAGTTTATCAGTCTCTGTTACTAATACTGTATGTACTGTGTTATAGGCAAATAGACAAAGTGAATTTTTTTTTAACACCTACTGTCTCCCACCAAGGCAGGGTGACCCGGAAGCAAGAAACGTAAAGTTTTTCTTCTTTTTGCATTTAGTGATTTATACAGGAGAAAGCATTACTAGCCTCTTGCTCCCAGCATTTTAGTCGCCTTATATGACACACATGCCTTACCGAAGGATTCTTCTCCACTTTTCCATGAAGTCAGAGTAAATGTAAACAATGAAGAAATTCTCAGAAGTGAGGTACGAGAGGAAGATGATTATAGTGAGAGGTGGGGAAAATGAGACAATGTATTGAGGGTTTAATTTTTTTGTTATTTTTTAGCTCAGTGGCCATTTCCCACCAAAGCAGGGCAATCCAAAGAAGAAAACACATTCACCAACATTAACTCAATTGCTGTCTTTGCAGAAGTATGCTGACATCACAGTCAGAAAGCCGTCCAACTGCAGCATCCCCACACCCCTCCTTCAGAGTGCAGGCACTGCCCTTTCCACTTCCAGAACTCTAAGTCTGTCTAGCGGGTTTTCCTTAATACCTTAAAGAAAGTTAACTAACACGTCCATTAGAAGCCACTAGTCTCCATGCATTCTTATCTAACACTCACACATGCTTGCTGGATGCTCAAGCTCCTGAAACTCAGAGCCTCTTGTACCCCCCCTTCCCTTCCTTTCTGAGATAACCTCTCACCCCTCTTACCTTCCATTCCAGATTCATCAACCCTCTTTGTCAACCTATCCTTCTTCATTCTCTCTACATGCCCAAACCACCTTGTCAATCCTTCATCCATCTGAATTATACCCTCAGTCACCCCACATAACCTGCATGATATTCACACCACACATTGCTCTTAAATATGACATCTCCACTGCCCCCAGCTTTGTGTTGAGTGTTGTGTGTTGATAATTCTTGGAGAAACAATATCATCACTCACCTACCACCCACTGTACTGTTAATATGTACATCACAATTGAGGTTTAAGCAATTACTGGCATCACCTACCTGGGGATGAGTCTGAGGATCATCACCCTTGTGGTCTGGTCTCAGAAGAAGCCTTCTGTGTTGAAAACTTGTCCAGTGGTACTTGCAGCCTGCAGTTTGACACATACCACAGAGCCACTGATTGTGAACACTTAAAAATTTTAAGTAATTTCTTTGTGTAATTATTGCACTGATCTTGATATTTTAGACACTTGAAGATATAGTAAGGCAATTATTGATGGTTAAAATGTGTTGGAAAATATACACTGAATGTTTGAAATGCTGGTACTGTACAAATATCATAGGTAAATTAAAATTTTTTTATTAATGTTAAAATATTGCTTGACGTGAGCTAATGTGTTTAAAGTGTGAGCGTGTTTGATAAGAGTAAGTGAAGACAAATGGTTTTTGGGACTTGAAAAGCTGTTGGAGTATGAGCAGGGTAATATTTTGTGAAGAGATTCAGGGAAATCAGTTAAATGAACTTGAGTCCTGGAGGTGGTAAGCACAGTGCCTGCACTCTAAAGGAGGGGTCTGGGATATTTGCTGTTCAGAGTGACATCTAAACAGTTATATATGCACACCTCTGTAAAGATGGTGATATAGTGTGATTGATGGGGAAAGTGTTTCTTTTTTGAGTTACCCTGCCTTGGTGGGAGATGGCTAGTGTTAAAATAATAATGATAATAATAATAATAATAATAATAGTAATTTAGTATGTTTAATAATTAGATAGAACAAATAAAGATGCAAATTTAATATTTTATGTGGATTTAGTAGTTGCTGCATGCATGTATATTGTATTAATGGCAAATTAATTGTTTTTTTTATTTCTTTTCAAGATGATGCAGATGTGCTTGGGGAGGTTTGTGTCTTTCAATGTAGTTCATTTGAACTCATAAAATATATGTGGGATGAAGAGACGTTATCGTTGGTGCTACCTGGCATGTTGCTTTAGTGTTGTGTGTTGAAAAGTAGTTGCTAACTGCATTGAACAAGAGTTAGTGATGGAACTGGTGTGGAGTGTGTTGTGGTGGGTGTATGCCCTTGTCTTCCTCATACTCTTCTTATCAGCAACAGTCCACCACCCCCTGGGTCTGCGCAAACATTATATAAGCATACTCCTACGACTGTTTGCTTTTGGCCAGGAGCGTGTGGAACGCAAACGTTCGTTACGCTCTCGTAATGAAATAGACGAGCCAGACTCCTCTTTTGAGGACCAAGATATACCATTAATATCTTCTGAGCATCCAAGAGCTCTGGGCATCAAGGATGACATCAAGGGGTTCAAACTTGATCATGTGTTGGAGTACATCAGTGCAGGAATGGCAGTTGTCATAGAAGATGATGTGACCAAATCATTTGAGCCAGAAGAGCTCCCTGCTTGGAATCTTCTGTCACGCACAAACAACCGAGCATATGAATTTGTGTCTTTCCGCCTTACAATCTGTTGGGTTGTTGGCTTTCTCATTCGGTACTTCCTTTTCTTTCCCTTACGTATTGTCATTCTAATCCTTGGTACAGTGCTCTTCTGGATTTGTATGTTAGCTGTTGGACTTCTTCCAAATGGAAGTGCAAAAAGATGGCTTAATGAGAAGCTCCTTGTGTTTTGTTTTGATTTTATAGCCGGATCATTATCTCTGGTTGCCACTTTCCACAATGAAGAATATGCTCCCAAGAATGGCATTGCTGTTGCTAATCATACTTCACCCATCGACTCTATGGTGCTGGCTACACACAACTGCTATGATATGGTAAGCAAGAATAATTTTGTCATGTTAGATTTTCACTCAGATATGAGATTTTAGTAAATGTAACCACTGAAGAAGGTTTAGTGAACTTTGTATTTAAAATTCTACCATCCGATCTTAGATAAAAAGGAACACAATGTCTGCATAACTTGCAGAATCATAATAGCATTATTGTAAACAACCTACACAATGAATGGGGTTGGAACCCATGGTGAACAAGTCCTAAAACAAGCAGGCAAATGTGCTAACTACTTCATGCACATTTAATTTCTTAGCCACATTACAACACACGCATCATCTGCAATTAGGCACCATATGCTAGCGTGTATGCACATATTCATGCACAGTACATATATTTGCATACACTGCTCTTCCATACATCACACAACACAGGTGGTATAGTTTTACTGTTGAACCACAAGTTTCCAGTGGCTGTAGTACCTACTACTTTCTCTGGTATCTTATGCCACTCTTTTATCATTAAGATGAATTTTCTTGTATTCTTTTAGTAGCTCTTCCAATATTATGTAAGCTTTATTTTCACTATTGTGTATGTACCTTTTTGTAAAAGGAACAGTTTATTTTCTAGTATTGCAGTGTTAGTATTTGTTATGGTTTTAGTCCTCATCTTGCTTTAACAGTTGAAATAAAGAAACAAATTGCTTATATTCATTAGCGTGCCGTTCTATTTGTATAATCTTATAATTAGCTTTTAGCTATTAATTTTACCATATTCTTGAGAAAAATTTAGAGAGTCCCATATCTATGTTCTGCTTTTTGTATTAAGTAATTTTGATCCTAGTCTAAGTTGCTTGTGCATACTTGCAAATCTTCAGAGTACAGTAGGGCCCTGCTTTACGGTGTTTTGCCTTATGGCATGCCATTAATAGACATTGACTCTCTAATAGTCACCATGCACCACCTAGTTTGTTTTTCATCCTCCATGAGCTCTGCGTCTCTCCATTATGTCTGGCAGGTGCACGTTAAAATCACTAAGAGTGTCCCTCTAGTCTTGATGCCATAGTAATAATACTAATACTAATACATAATAATAATAATCACTCTTTGGCACATTAACCCTTTCAGGGTCGAGAGGCCCTCTCCTAAACTTGTTCTCAGGGTTGAAAATTTTTCAGAAAAAAAAATTATTTTTTTCTTATGAAATGATAGAGAATTTTTTCCCGATCATAATGACACCAAAAGTATGAAATTTGATGGAAAACTTACGGAATTATGCTCTTGTGAAGTTAACGGTCTCGCCGATGTTTATGCATCGGCAATTCTGCCCACTTTGAGCCCTATTTTTGGCCAATTCCTGTGTACTAGTCAACAAAAATCATATTTGTTTCACTAGAACTCTGTTTTTTCTATCAAATGAGTACAAGACACCACCCATTTAAAAATTTCAACTATCCAATAAAGTGGTTAGAAATTGGCAATTTTGCCAATTTCACACAAATTTCAGAAGATGCCAATTTCCAAATAAGGTCCAGAATAAGCAAGAAAGACATTCCTGGCACTAAAATAACAAGTTCTTTGTTCGTTAGTCATGTCCACAGGCCCCACTTACATTTCTTTTGCTTTCCACTTTGAATTTTTATTCTTACAAAAAATAGAAGATTTACTGTTATGCAGACTACTGCATTAGTGTAGAAATGGTATAAATAATATCAGCGCACTTGTGAAAGAATATTAGACTCACCAGTTGATGTGTATTGGACACTTGGCATGATTTGTTTACTTTTGAACTTTGGTAAAAATCGAACATTTCTGCTACTTTGAGCTCAATTTCAAGGTACTTTTCATTGTGAAACCAGTCAAATTCATCTCAATTTCTGTAATATGTCTTCCATTCTATAAAATGGGACCAGGAAAACTAGAATACAACCGTAAATACCACACGAAAATACAATGCAAAGTCACTGTTTTAATCCAAAAGCATGGTCAAAGTTTATTTTTTCTCATTATGCACTGTGTGCTGCAGGATTTTTTTTATACTGCACACACTGACCACATAGATCCATTCTTTTGTATGTAGGCCTACCAGCTTTCTCTCGCTAGATTTGAAGGCGCTAGAATTTAGGCGTACTAGTACGTCAATAACCCTGGTGTGTAAGCCGTACTAGTATGTTGAAAACCCTGAAAGCGTTAAATGTCTTATTTTATGTTAATAAACATTTTCATTAATCCATCTATTATATTTTCTTCAAAATTATATAAGAAACATGTTACATAGCATATAAACATGATACACCCACAGTACAATAAATTTCACATAAATGTGAGGTGTGGTAGCCGGATAGAGGGAAAAAAATTCTGTTTTCTCTGGTTCAGCCCCAGAGAAAATGTGTATCAATCTGCCTTTGATCCAGTCCCTCCCCTCCCCTAAACGCATTTGGCTTTGTTTATAATTCTCGGCATGATTTCTTCTCATCACTTCTCCCTTCGTTTATGATGGCATCTGAAGGTAGTTGTTAGAAATGATTAAACTCAGTGAACAAGGTATGTCGATGGTAATAATATCGCTCTGGGCAGCTTTAAATGTCATATACAGTGGACCCCCAGTTATCGGCCGTAATCCATTTCAGAAGGTTGGCTGATAACCGAAATGGCCAAAAAACTAATTAATATTTCCCATAAGAATTAATGGAAATACAATTAATCCGTTCCAGACAAAAATATTCACAAGAAAAAAAAAATTTTTTTAACAATTATGTAAGTATTACATACCTTTATTGAAGGCTAATGCTGGCTTCTGGAAGATAGGGAGGAGGAAAGAGGGAAGAGTTAGTGTTTGGAAGGGGAATCCCCCTCCATAAAGACTTTATGCAGCAAAGCCTTCTCTGGGGTTACTTCCCTTCTTTGTCTTTTAATGCCACTAGGACCAGCTTGAGAGTCACTGGATCCTTGTCTCACAAAATAACTGTCCAGAGTGCTCTGTTTCTGGCATCTCTTGAAGATTTCCCTGAAGTGGGACAGGGTTTTGTCACTAAACATGTTGCAAATATGTCTTGTTTCAGCTTTGTCAGGGTGGTGTTTCTCTACAAAAGCTTGCACCCTAGTCCACATTGCACACACCTCTTTAATCTCTGAAGAAGGCACCTCCTTCACTCCCTCTTCCTCCTCCTCTGAAGCAAGTTCCTCAGCTGCAGTCTGTTGCTGTTCAAGTTGAAGCTCTTGCAGCTCTTCAGTGGTTAGCTCTTTCCTGTGGTCCTCCACCAACTCTTCCACATCCTTGCCACTCACCTCCTACCCCAGGGACTTCCCCAGTGCCACAATAGTTCACAGGGCTGTCAGGGTCAGGGTCAGCCTCAAACCCTTCAAAATCCCCCTCTTGGACACAAACTGGCCACAGTTTTCTCCAAGCAGAGTTCAAAGTCCTGGAAGTTGCTCCCTCCCAAGCCTTACCTATAAGGCTTATGCAATGGAGGATAGTGAAGTGATTCCTCCAGAACTCTCTTAGGGTCAACTGAGTGTCCGAGGTCACTTCAAAGCACTTTTCAAACACTGCTTTTGTGTAGTTTTTTGAAGTTAGAAATGACCTGCTGGTCCATGGGCTGGAGGAGAGGAGTGATGTTAGGAGGCAAGAACTTCACTGTGATGAAACTGAAGTCCCTAAACACTTGGTCTTCCAAGTCTGGAGGATGTGCAGGAGCATTGTCCAGTACCAGGAGGCACTTGAGTGGCAGTTTCTTTTCCAGGAGGTATTTTTTCATGCTTGGGCCAAACACATCATTAACCCACTCTTCGAAAATTTGCCTTGTGACTCATGCCTTATGATTAGCTTTCCACATCACACAATCTATTCTTCATGACATTGTTTTTCTTGAACACTCTGGGATTTTCTGAGTGATACATCAGTAAAGGCTTCACTTTGAAATCCCCACTAGCATTACCACACAACAAAAGAGTATGCCTGTCTTTCATAGGCTTGTGTCCTGGCAGTGCCTTTTCCTCCTGGGTAATGTAGGACCTGTTTGATATTTTCTTCCAAAACAGGCCTGTTTTGTCACAATTGAACACTTGTTGGGGATTGAATCCTTCAGCCTCTATGTACCCCTGGATTTCCTGCACGAATTTTTCAGCCGTACATTTGTCAGAACTTGCTGCCTCACCATGCCTTACAACACTGTGTATGCCACTACGCTTCTTAAATCTATCAAACCATCCTTTGTTGGCCATAAATTCACAAACTGCAGCACTTGTTCCAGGCATTTTCTTTGCAAGATCCTCATGCAACTGCCTTGCCTTCTCACAAATAATAGACTCCACATCAGTCTCCCACTAATTCTTTTTCCATAATCCACAATAATAATAACTCTTCCATCTCTTCCATTATTGGTGGCCTTTATTTAGTTAGAAAAGTTACTCCTTTTGCAACATTAGCATCTTTGATTTGTTCTTTCTTTGCCAGGATGGATGTAATTGTTGATTTATTCTTGCTGTACATCCTGGCAAGTTCCACCACTTTCATACCACTCTCAACCTTTTCTCTCACTTCATGCTTAAATTCCATGGTGTTTCTCACTTTCTTTACCACAGGAACTTTCTTTGGAGCCATGGTTACTTATTTCACAGTTGCACTACAAAAAAAACACTAAAAACAATAGAAAACAAGCAAAATGTTTGGATGTATGAGCAGAAGCTTCCTCACCCAATGAGAGAGAAACCCAAACTGACGTGCAAGCAGCCCCAGCTGGTGGATGGATGCGTCCCAAATGGCCGATCACTGAATTAACGGCCAATAACCGGGCGCCGAAAAACTGCCCAATAACCGAGTTGGCCGATAACAGAACCAGTCGATAACCAGGGGTCCACTGTATTACATTAGGAGTGGAAGCCAGGTGGGCTTCCTGGTTACCTACACTTACCGACTACCAACACCTGACTTCCTACAAATGAATACTACTCATCTTTCACCTTACATTAAGACTACAAATATTTTAAGGTAAGTAATGAATGTACTGTGTATTTTACTTTTTATTTTTTTAAGGCCTCGTTCT